ATTAATTTATAGGTTCCGCTAAGTAATCTAACAGAATAGTTAAGTTAGGTTAACCAAATCCGTTAGGGGTAAATTTGACAAATCACCATGTTATTTTGTTTGGGCTATTTTATTTGGGTTAATATAAAAATGGGCGTTGTACTAACCATTAAATAAACTTCTAATGTGGTTTTTGGTTAAAAGTTAAAATTTTCAAGCCGTTTTGGTTAGTTTTCCTTTAAATAAATTGGCAAAGTAAAGGAAACAAAAGAAAATAGTTTTGAAAATAAATTTGAGCACCAGGGTTCCACCGTCACCTTAACAATCCTACGTAGTTCTTCCAATTACTTATAACTTACACATGCATATTTGAATGTTAGGTTTTCCTAAAGTATGACCTACTTGGAACCTCAAACATAGAACATATATCTAACGTCGTCTACGGTGTCCAGATCGAATGTGAACATGCAAGACTCATTAAGTTTTGTGAAATCTTTTTGAAAAAACCATATAACCCTTAAGACGTGTTGTCCATCCTAAGAAATTACACATATTAACCACAAGAAGCCTTAGTCAATTCCAGGGACAGTCCTTCGTCAAAATTGAATCAAATTACTTTTCTAAATATCCTAATGATGGCCAATCATCAAGACAATTAGATAGTTTAAACCGGTGATTAATAATTCAAAACTTGCATGCATAAATTCATAAGGAAATTAAAAAGAAACTACATATTCTTGTTAAGGCTCGTGGTCCTTGTCCTAGCAAACAAACTCATTACCAACAACCATAAAACAAAATATTATTAAGAATGTGGATAGAAAGCACCTTAAAAATAAATTTGAATCGTCAAAAGCTCTCTAAGTAATGCGTGTGTTCTCCCCTCTTTCCTCCTCTTTTTTACCTCCTCCTTTTTTCCTCCCAAAAACCCTAATGGCTAAAAAGCCTTATTTATATCACTACAAAATAAAATCCTACCTAGAAAATGTCTTTTAAAAAATAGGAAACATAATAGAATAAGAAAACTAGAAAATAAAAGGTTTTCTATTTAAATTGAAATTCGGACTTCTCAGAAAATCAGACTTTTGACCAACCAAATCAACTCCAATTTTGTCCCAAAGGGACCTTTTTGAAAGCTGAAGACGTCCCCTACAAATCCTCAGAAGGAATCTTCCTTAAATTATGCCATCTTGACTTTCAAAATACCCAAAATGTCCAAAAACGTCAATCTGGGAAAGCTACGCGCTGGATCTTTATTTCATTGCCACAGTCAAACAACTTGGTAGAAAAATCTATAAATTTGACACAGTCATCTTGAAAGACTTACGAAGATCCTTAAATTAGAATCACTAAAAAATTCAACCGTTTGATCACTCTTTGCTCAGAGAAGTCAAATGTCCTACATTGAAAATACATAACAAAGTATCAAAATTCTACCAAAATAACTAATAAATTATAACTAAGATTAAAGTATATGATATAATATGGACTCATCAATGCACTTTTAATTAATAGCTTTTCCTCTATATATACATACATACATACATACATATATATATATATATATATATATATTAATCAGCTCTTATTTCTCATAAACAGAAACTTGACAATGATAAACATGATTTGGGAGGTCAGAATACAAACAATTAGTTTAAATGAGCAGAATCTTTTCCGAGGCTAAGAAATCAGAGAAAAAAAGATGAACAAGACTAGTGATCTCCCTAAGAACAATCAGATGTGCTAAATTGAAAAAATTATCCCTGCAATACAAAACGAGAGAGAGTTTCGAATTTAGGGATGAAATCGATTTAGCTTACCACTATTCAAATTCTACTTACTCAGCAATAGTGCAATTGTAAGGATTCGAACTTAGGATCACATATTATGGTTCAACGAAAGAGTTCCTTGGTTTAGTACTATTCTCAAAAGACTAGGTTGATGGTATGCAGAGAAACTTCGGAAACATATTTGATTATGGCAACTTTCACGTTCAATGGGGCTAGTTAAGGTCAGGAGGGAGCAAAATATAGGAAGTATTGTGCTTTTGTAAGAGGTGCCCTATGAATGACATGGTCAGACAACCTAACCATGTATTTCTTGTTGAATGTTGGCTAGGGTTTGTGAGCAATAATGTCATGTGTCTTACCGCTTAGTGAAAAATATGTCTAAATACTTTGATGAAAAGCCTAAGAGGGTTATCATGAAACATGAAATCTAAATTGTAGGAACGTAGGCTTTGATGGACGCTTGTAATCCAAGCGATACTTAAATTGTACGCCTCATATCATATCTATAACACATATATACCATATCATGTCTAGTAAGCCTCTTTCTAGATTGTATATTAGACAATTTAAATATAAATTATATTATTTTTTGTCATATTTATATCAATTCGATTCAAATTATATTATATTCGTGTCGTGTTTATGTCAATCCGACTCAAATGATACCTCTGATTATTAAAGAAGTTGGGTGAAGATCCATGTCTACTCGTTTTCATCCACCACTAGAGCAACTTTTCAAAACCTACAATGTGGTCCTAAGTCTAAACAAAGATCAATGGTCCATGGCTTTGTGCAAAGCCATAAACTTGGGACGAATTGAACCAACGGAAGAGACGAGTGAAGAAATTTGGCCTAATCCTTCTTGCCAGGTACTTCACATGGATGATGACTTGCACACGAAGGAATAGGGCCGGTTTGGTATTATGTTTTTTTTCTTTTTTTTAATCAAAAACTGATTCACTTTAAAGTATATTTTAAAAGCAATGGCTTACGAATAGCAGCTTTTAAAAGCAGCGTGTAAGTTGCTTTTAAAAGTTGCTTTAATAAAACAATGGATATGAGCCTGTGATGAATATTTTGTTCCTGTAATACTCTCATTAGTTTTTGGAAATGACATTGTTACCCTCATTTACCTCATGAAAAACAAATAGGCTGCCACCACCTACTACTACAAACATCATGGCCGGTCCAGAGATTTTTGAGGCCCGGGGCGACATAAAAAAATGTGCCCTCATTTCATATAAAAAAAAAATTGTTTTCACACGTAAGACACCGATAAAATTATTTACAAAAACACTTCAAACTCAATAATTTAGAAACACAAAATAATTAATTTATTTGTATCAAGAGAATGAAACTAAAAAAATTCGGGCTTTCAAGTAGATAGATTATGAGTTTTGTTTTCCATCTGAACTTTTAAATTGTTTTTGTATAAATCGTGAGTTTTTTTTTTTTTTTTTTTACTAATCTCGTCAATATAAGACTAAAAAAATATTAATGTTTTTGAGTCTTTAAGGATATGTATAAGTAATGAATGAATACTAAATTAAATCTTTTGATGACACGTAATATTATTTGCAAATTTGGTCTAAAAATTTAGTCTACTCATTACTCTTTGCTAAAGATTAGACTTGAATTGGAACAAATATTTAAAAATAGCAACCCACATAGCTACTAACTAGTAAATAAATTAACAACCAAACAAAAATTTGTAAAAAATTGAAAAAAATAAACATGCACATAGCATTTCGAACTTAGGACCTCTCATTAATTTTAAACAACAAAAACCATTACTTCTAATTAAACTTCTTGATCATTTAGCCAAATTTTATATAAATTTATACTATTATGAAAAGAAATTTGTAAAAATTGGAATGTAAATAAGCACACATGGTGTTTTGAACCTAAGACATCTTCATTCATTTTAAACAACAAAACCACCTAAGACATCCTCATTCATTTTAAACAACAAAACCACCAGTTCTAGTTAAATTTCTTTGTCACTAAACCAAATTTTATAAATTTGTACTCTTATAAAAACATATATAAATATACCACCCTAATAATTTTGGTGCCCCTAATTTTTTTGGGCCCCAGACGATTGCCCTGCCCGCACTGGACCTAGGCCGGGCCTGACAAACACTAACCTTACACCACCACAACCATAACCACCACCACCGCCATCAAAACCGCCATCATCGCCATTGTCACCACTATTGTTTCCACCGTCGCCGCCACTATCGTTGTCATCACCGCTACCATCACCACCATTGCCATCATTGTCATTACAACCACAAACTCCACTATCGTCGTTGTCGTCGTCCCTACCACCATTAGTATCTCTACACCCTAACCACCACACCCCATTATTGGCCACATCACCATAGCTCTACCTTTGTTGCTGCCATCACCACCACTACTATTGTCGCCGCCGCCGCCACCACCACTATCTTCGCCACCGCTATCATCACCACCACCCCCACTACTAGGTTCTTTTTTGTCATCATATACAATTCACTTTTACAATAAAAAAATATCAAATGCTTTTATACTGTTTTTCATATTCAAAAAATACAGTGTATCAAATGTTTAACTACCGTATTTTACAGCCGGTTATTGGTAAAGCGAAACAAAAGTTTTTTAAAAAAAACACAACAATCTCAAACTAGCCCTAACCCTCACAATAACGATATTTTTAATTCAACGTGAAGAACACGTTAATTACAGCAATGCTTAATTAGGTTAGTTCCATGACTGAAAATATTAGTAATAAATATTTGAAGACTCAAAATACAAAAACAGAAACCCCTCACTTGTGGTGCAATAGTAGTCAGATCAACAAAAGTTGAACCAAGAAGTTCTCTTCGAAATATATTTCTATTTTTTTTCTTTATTAAGAAATGGAGTTTTGCACTTATTTGTAAAGAACCCTACCATGTGGACTCAGAATTCCAACTTGAGTTTCACAATGGACTTGTAGCTCAAGACTCAAGTGATTGAGGAAATGTACTCGCACCTGAAGTCGTATATTATTGTATCCGAAGTCCTGCTCCCTCGATTAATATCGCTTGTATCTTGAGTTCTTTATCGAAGGGAACAAGATGATATTAGCCATCAAGACAACTATTAAACAATAGATCCACAAGAGTGGGCCCCCTGCTCCATTGTTTCCCACTTTGTGAACCTGACATGGGTCTTGCTTTACAAAATGTTTGGTAATGGGAGTTGAACTTTTACAAATTTAAATTTCATCTTTATAACAATGTGAAACCAAAGCACATATATTTCTAGATCCCTCCTTTTACAGCCTGTACTCCTTTAACGAAATGAAAGAAACCAAAAGAAAAAAGAAGCCCCAAAGAGTTGAAAGCCAGATAACAAAAGCACTTTTTAGGGTTTTTGACACTAATACCACCCCTACTCCCCCCTCTCAATAATATATGACTTTATGGATTGGAGCTTCTACCCACAGATGAGCATGGTGGAGGAAGACTTGTGTCACTTACTGTACAAACCCCCTTTATTCCATGGCTCATCTCCTCTTTGTCAAGCTTCTTATCCAACCCTTCCTTACCTTGACACCCTCCACCTTGTTGCTGACATGGCACACACTGCCGTTGTTGGACCTCTTCCATCTGATGAGCTGGGTCAAGTGACCAATCCTCTTCCGCCACCTAAGCGGGATGTGGGATTTCCCGTACTCTATCACGCTCTTGGTATCCCTTGCCTCCTTGGTTTCCTTGGCTTCCTTGGCTTCCTTCCTGAAGTTGTGATTCCAGGACATGTTGCAATGATCTAGAGAGACCTTAGAGACTTTGTTCTTCTCCCATGAGGTTACTCCATTGTCTTCAAACTTGATTGATATGAATGAGTCTGCAAAAGCAATTGGCAGTGCGAATATGTGATCATGGTTGCCAAGAAAATTCAGACATGCACATTTTTTACAATCTTTTTCGGTAGTGAGAAAACCCCCAATGGCCTACTATCTCATTCAGATCGAGTTCTTAGGACAAAGCTCAAATGCATGCAATCATATGCAAACCACACGTGCTCACACCATTTTCTGTTAAATAGTGAGTTAGTACATTAAACTGGGCAGAGAAAGCTCCAAGGGTCAATGACCAAATAAAAGCAAATGTAACTCAATCAAAAGAACGCAATCAACGTGAATTTGAAGTTAGGAGTAATTATATATAGGTTCATTCAAAACAGGCTAATGGTGATGATATTCTCTGTTTAGCTTATGAGAATATTTGCAAACACAATATGTTAGTCAAATGTAAGAACTGTGTTTTCATCCCCTCCAAACTCTACTTTCATTATTATTATTATTATTATTATTATTATTATTATTATCATTAGTTGGTTGGGAAGGATGGGGAGAGGGTTGAGTGCAAGCAAAGAGAAAGGATTGATTAACAAAGGAAATTTGAACTAAAACATAATTAAGTTTGGCTTTTGCACTTTAATATTTTGTATATCAACTTAATTAAGTTTGCTTATAATAATGGAAGTACGCTGATTATTTAAGATATCCGTAAACAGGGGTTTTTCCTAATACTAACACAGATTTGGAGGGGTAGTGCCCCTCACTTACTTTTGAAGTGAACCAAATGTAAATGCACAAAACCTCATAAAGGTAACATCCATCTACTTCTAAAACCTGAAAAAGGATGCATCTTGGTTCAAAAGGATGAAGCTTTTTAGGTAATTGTCAAACTAATCTGCTTGTAGTCTTTTAATGATAGTTTCTTCGCATAATTGGAAACAATTAAATCATAATTGATTAGACAACCACATGAACCCCAATAAAAAGAAAAGGATGCTTCTTCATGAATAAACCCCTAAAACCCGCCACTTAGTACAAAGGTCTTGTGGTATTTCCTTTAAGTGAGAGGTCTTAGGTTCGATCCTCACCAAATACGAGTTTGAACCACTAGCTCATTGTCTAGCTATGCCTTAAGGGGGGAAAGATGAAGTCTTGCATTCCAAATCTTCCGTTTTATTTATACTTTGGCCATAATTTTGTCATTATCACCTAAAAAGCAACTAATTACACAACATATTAAACCAGACCCACAACAAACAAAGAAACAAAGACACACATACAACATCAAAGCACAATGCTTGGCCTTAAGCATTGTTTATATCACCACAAAGTTCAAACTCATAATTTTCACCACTAAAAGCTGCAAAAAGTTAAAAAGATAAAGAAATTTACCACTCACCCACAAGAAAAAGTACTTACCTTCTTGGCTGGTGGAAGCCTCTTGATCTGCGCCGTCGTCAGGTTTCCACTGCCGATTGAGGAAAGAGCTGAAAGCAAAGATCTTGGGGAGGCGAATGGGTGCCTTCTTGTGCATGCCATTTGGGTTTTTATGGCCACTGCTGCACTGCCGCCTCTGCCACCTCTGACGGAGGAAACATGGTGGCGGTGGTGGTGGCGGCCTTTTTTGGCAGACAAGATCAGAAGCCTCTCAGTCAGGCAGAGCGAGCAGACCCCCACAACCAACTCTTTAGGGTGGAAATAGCAAAAGGAGTTCTCTTCTCTGAAGCCATTCATGTTAGAATTGGGGTTTGAGGGAGTTGATGAGAAAGGTAAGGGAAAAAGTGAGAAAAACTTGTGACATGAAAAGAAAGAAAGAATAGGTTCTGTGTTGAGTTCTGTTTTCCTGTGTGGGAGAAGAATGCGTGGTGCGTGTAGTTTGTTGGAAGGCATTTATAGTTTGGAATATTTTAAAAGGGGATGCTACGTGACCAAAATTTTAAAAGTAATGTTAAAAACATTAAATTTGTAAATTAAATTTTAGAAATTAAATGACACGTAAGTTGATGATTGGTTTATTATTTAATTGTTGATAGACGTGTTCATTTCTATTAGTGACATATCATTTAATTTGCAAATTTAGTTTCCTAATTTAATCTTCCTAGCATTACTCAAATTTTAAGCCATTTTTTGTAGAATATGTGGGCGTTTAACTTATTTTTTAAATTATAAAACGAATTCAATCATCAACTACTATATTATATAATTTACAAAATATGGCATTACTCAAATTTTAAGTCACCTTTCATAGAATATGTAGATGTTTAACTTCTTTTTTAAATTAAAAAACGAATTCAATCATCACTACTATATTATATAATTTACAAAATATTATTTAAAATTTTAAACTCTGTTTTTTCCAGTTTTAGATCAATGGAGGTGATCACGAGGTTGGCCCACAAATCACTTTTGTCCAATATTGTAAGAATTGGATAGAGGCCTTATGGAGAGTACTAAGAAAATTGATTTGTGTGTTATTTATTTATTTGTTATTCTTAGAAATGAGATATTTGATTTTACATATTAACACTGGAAAATTGGAGGACGATTCTTATAATATATTTTATTTGAAATGAAGAAAGTCATGAATTGAGAAATGGGAAAAGAAGTTGTAATGGGATGAATTAATTCCTATCGTTCATATAATTCTTGATTTTCAAGTGTGATCGCAAATTTTAAAGTGGAATCAATACTTTTTTGGATCTTATTTATGTTATATTGATTTGATCACAATATTATAAAAAAATCGAACTAATCGAATAAGCTTGAGTTAGATTGGGTTGGATTTAAAAATCTACCATTCAATATATATTGGATCAAAAGCAGATTCACTAAGTTTTATTGATTTCGAATAACATAACATTGCCTTTTGGATTGTATTTATTATTTTTTTTTCATTGAGTTTGAAGGTTTAGATCGGTTTGATAATTTCAAGTTGAGTTTAGATTTGTGTCCTTGGTGTTAGGAGTGTGGATAAGAAGTACAGGTTTCGAGTGTGATTTTTTCTTCAAATGAAGAAAGATTAGACGAGATTAGTATTTTCGGTAATAATTGCATACGAGGCACCTACCCTGCCCCAAATAGGTGAGGGCCATTACAACCAGAAAACTCCCGCCCATCTCTCCTCCACTAAATTTATTGAAAATAAATATAAGTAAACAAAAAAGATACAAGCAGGGGACCATACCAGACCGCAAAGACAAAAGCGACCAACGAAAATAAGAATAAGGACAAAACGAAATGTCACGAGTATGATTAAAGGCTACAAAATCTAGAATTGTAGACCACCAATAATAAGCATAACTATTTGCCCTAAATGAAGCTAAAGCATCTACAACCTGATTTACTTCTCTATAAATATATGTACACGTAAATCACATTTGATGAAGTTGCCAGAGACAATTCTTCCAATCTACCATATGAAACCTCGAGGTCGCATTAGAAGCCTTAAAAAGATAGTGAATAACCAACATGGAGTCCGTTTTTATCCATAAATGTTTCCAATCTATGACCAAAGCTATACACACAAGCTCAATAAAAGCAAAAATTTCTACAACAATTGAACGTGAATTTTGTTGGTTTCTGGCATTTTTTTCACATATTATGTCAATTTTTCCTAAGGGTAGTACTATCCACACACCCATTTTTACTTTTAACACAACCTTCTCAATTTTAGTTATCAGATCGAGTGAATTAAAGAAGATAAATGGCCAAACATTAACAAGAATGTGTAGAAGGTAAAAATAGATGTGTGAATAGAACTATCCCTTCCAACACCAAATTCGCACTTAAACAAGAAGAATATTATGTTAATTTTCCTTGAACTTGTATCTCATTATCAATTTTCCCGTTAAACTTCAATTTGAACCACTTTTTTTAACAAACAATATTATCTACACTAAGGAGAGGGAGTAGGCTTAGCCTACAATAGGCTAGTAATAATGTGATTCAAATTTACCTTTGGCAAAATCAAACCTAAGACCTCACGCTTACAAGTAAAGAGGAATACTATTAGACTGTAGTACTAAGTAGCCAATTTAAACCACTTTTATTCCGTCTAAAAAATCACATGCCAATCCTTTCAATTGTTATTTGTTTTTTTTATTATTAAAAATCTCTATCATTATTATTTTTTCCCTTTTTTTTTCTTTTCAAAATGATAGAAACTTTGATTAAATTCGAATCGAAATGTTTACATCAGATGTCAGAGTGTTAAACAATCATTTCGGTTCAAACTCATTCCAACTATGAATGCCACCTTCCTTAAACACAAAAGATGTCACTAGATGCGCTACCCTAATACCAACACGTGGAGCAAAACGAAATTCTACTGACCTCAATTCTTGTTATAATCAGTCTAATATCAAATAGGATACCTTCAAACATTACCTCCGGTTGCAAAGTACCATTAATCATCTCCGTAAGATTTTATGAAACAATTTTAACAAAAAGGTTAGATGAAATATGGGAAAGTCATTTACAATAATTTATCTGAAAATTAGTCAAAATAAAAGATATAGGGCAAAAAATAACACCTCAAACCTTAAAAGGGAGCTACTATTGACAACCTCAAAAGTATGAAATTCACACTTTAAACCGCAAAAGCTCCATATATGCTTCTCTCATTGCTTTTAAGTGGATAATATTCTATAACTAAATTGCTAAACTTTGGGTTGGATGCTTCTTTTTCTTTTTTTGCATTCAATTACTAAAGTTTCCTACTTTGCTTTGCTACAATCTCTAAAAAGCAAAAGCATTGTGAGTTTTCTGCTCTCAAGTCTCAAGTCTCAAGAGAAGAGAAGGGGAAAAGTATGGAGGAGTCAACTGAACCGATATCCCACACATTCAGTGTTTTGTTTTTTTTTTTTTTTTTTTTTTTTTTGTGTCAAATAATAGATTTGTCAGATCAGATGTTAGATTAAGAAGCCGACGGGTTTTGAACCTATACCATGATACAAGGCCAACACTCCTCTCCGCCATCGTGGTAAAGAGCCACTTGTATATTCCACACATTCAGTTAATTATTATGATATATTTATCACTAATCTTCCTAAATGCCTACAATTTGACAAACCAAACCCCGAACCCTATCCAAAACAATTGCATTGGGGATGTGGAGTTGGTCACTGCCAAGTGAGTTTTCAGTCAAAAAGTGTGACACCCTCCCACTTCATTTCTTTCTAACCTTATAGATAGGATGTAAACTAAAGTTGTGAGATTAAATTGCAATAAGTAGGTTTTTTTGTAGGTAGTTTGTAGGTGTTCACGAAAGGTCACAAGATGAAGAAATTCTTGCATGCGATAATCAGATCAAGTATTACATAAATTTTAATTTAAAAATTCCGCTCTCTTATAAGTGAGTTGAACAGTTCACTTAATCTGACCACTAGACACAAAAACATATCAACAAGATTAACTTGCAGTTTTTCATCGTATCACATCTTGGAAAAAGGCTATGGTGGTGTGGGTGCATTGCCTTTCTCCAAGAAGATCGTTTTCACTACAAACGTGTAGTTCAAGGCCTTGATATTGCAAATTTCCTTGGAAAACTTTGAGAATTATGTGAAAAAATCGACATGTTTTTTCCCTGTGAAGATTATCGGGACAATTATGCAAATCCCTATCCGGCGGAATCTCCAAAACCTCTCATTCATGCCTCGTTTTCTACAAATTGGTTTCCATTTTTCGTGTATCAAGATGTACGTCACTCCACAGTTGCTAACAGGATCGAGAAGAGTGAAAAAAATTTAAGTATCCGATATTCAAATGGGAATATTACGTGTTATAATATAAGTAGAGGGATATAGAAAATGTATCATTTCTTCCCCTTGTATTATGACACAGTGAGTGCTGCTTGAATATTCGCTACTTGAAAAAAACTCTCTTGAGAAGAGGATTGTCTTGTTGTATAAGACATGAGAAAAATCAATACCTCCTTAATGTAATTATAAATCTTGTCCTGCTTTACTCCTTAAACTTTCAATTTGACTAGCGCTCTCCCCTACACCTTTGGTTAGGTTAGTCAAATTTTCCGTCGAATTAAGAGTTATTTTTGTTCATTTTGAACAAAATAAGCTCTTAGATTTGTTGTTGATGTATAAATTTCAAACCCTCTCTAGCTCAAATTCTCATAATTCTAAGCATTTACTATATAAGCCTTGAAATGTCGCATTTTGTTGACGTACATGTCTTAAAATTGATCATACGACGAAATGAAAGGAAATTTTTGCATAATTGACAAATTGAGAGGTATATTGACATGAACCGAAAGTTTAAAGAGCTCAAAACCAAATTGAAAGTTTGGAAAGCAAAGAGAAGTAGGATCCAAAATTCAGAAACATGTTTAAACATTTTTTGTCTTTTGGTTAAAGATAACTGAAAGGGCAAGTGAATGAACCATAAGTTAAAAGGAATAAAAGTTGATGGAAACAAACAAATCAAAGGAGCACATGGGGGATGCTTCTACTGAAAGGATTAAGTAAGGTTCATATCATGGAGTGTGGATGATGGACCAGATACATCCCTTCACCCTTTCTAGACCAGACCATTTAGGCTCCCTTGCCACCCTAAATGTGTAGTCTTTTCAAATCTTAATGTCCTTGGATTGGAAACTGAACATAGACCACATCTTCTCAATCCGGTTGTGCCATTTCTGACTGATAGTACAATGTCACGTGTTTTAAATTTCACACAACATCATATGTTTTAAGTTTCATGCTATTATTTTATGAAGTCATCATACGGCAATCAAATGCCGAATTTTTTTTTTTTGTAGAGAAAACTGATAAAGTTACACTGAATGGTGGGCTAAATCGCATAATGCGTAATAATTGAGTATCGAACACATGATGTATTAAGTGACTAAGTGTCAAATTCTACGAAATCTAAATTTTGCAGCCAACAAAAGTATGGAGAAGACGAACGAAAAATACAACTTGAAAAAACAACTTAAATCAGAAAAATACAGAAAGGATGGGGGCATTCTCAAAAATTGCTACTGCGGATCGTCTCACTTTCAATGCTGTAAAACCAACAAAAAAAATAGAAATAAAATTCAAAAATCTGACCATTTTGCTTCAGTAGCCACATAATTAGACCTAATATCATCATTCCTTTTATTGCTTGGAGTAGCTTAACTCTACGCATTTTTCCTAACACTAGTCCTTCGGCTAGCATTAAACCTAGCAAGGCCACAAACAAAATGGAGAAACAGGTAATTTGGTGGTGCCCTCGATTTATCAGGAAGCGTATAACTTGGCGAGGTCTTCTGAGAAAGCCTTCCTAATGACATCTCTCTTGAGCTTGAGAGCTGCAGTGACCAGGCCGGATTCTGGAGTCCATGGTTCCGAAAGCAGTTCGATTTTGGCAGGGATCTCAAACTTCTCCAAACGCGCCTTCTTTGCTTCCTGTTAATTGGCGAAAGATAAATATTTGAACCAGAACAAAGCAAATTAGATTGCACCTAGTATGTTCAAAAATATTGATACACCATTAGAATCAAGCGAAGCTTAAAGTAACGGAAATTTATCCAGAAGATTTATGTACCTTTACAAGTGATGCTTGCACTTCTTTTATGGTTTCTGCTTTCGAACACAAGTCTGCAAAATCGGTAAAAGTGATTTCTTGTTTTGCAGCCCATTCTTCTAATGTGACTCGAGAAGCCACCACAAGAGTCACACAGTAACTATGAAAAGGATCAGCATGCAACATGATATTGTCGACGTAGGGGCACACTGAAAGAGCAGCCTCAACCTGTAAAGGAAACATTAGTCCCCGAGGAAAATCTGATGAAAATTTGCATTCATCTTGCAGCACTCGTACCTTTCCTAGGGAGACATACTCCCCGTGCTGAAGTTTGACTATATCCTTCTTACGGTCAATTATCTCAAGACAACCATCACCATGAAATCGCCCTATGTCACCTGTATAGAACCATCTCATTCCTTTCTCGTCAACCTTTTTCACACAAAAAGCCAAAAATACAAAATTCACTGAAGTTAGGACTCCAATGAACAATTTTTCTTTGGTGGGTAGAAGCAACCGAAAAAAATGGTATGAAACCAAAAGTCTACCTTGTATGACTCTCTTGTTTTCTCTTCATTTTTGAAATAACCAAGTGTAACATTTGGACCACCAATGACTATCTCTCCACGAGGCATCGGGGTATCGGTATTCAGATATCCTCCTTCCGGCCAATCAATTAACTGGATACAGAAGAAGAAGAAAAAATATTTTAACACAATTAAAGTCAATATCATCTTCGTGCCTTGGAAACAAAGTACATAGCTCTTCTTAAGCCATTTGCCTTAACAGAAAACGAAAAACAGACAAATCAATCTAGAAGTTCATAAATGAACACCTCCAAGCAACTTAAGTCATGATTAGGATGCCAAATAAGTTTCTATCTTTCATATTTCCTTTTAAAGAAGAAGTTGATGTTATCAGTTTAAACACGTAATATAAGATACCCATTGGCATCTCTTACCTTTACAAATGAGCATGGAAGCGGAGCTCCAACTCTACCTACAGAAGTATCGTCAAACTCTGAGAATGTCCCACCAGCGCAAGTTTCAGTGAGGCCATACCCTTGACCAATTGGAGAACTGTCAATAGCCATCAATCACAAATGAGATATGATGAGAATGGAGCAAAAGAAAATAAATTTGTTTCTTCAGAAGCATGCAATTGAGTCGCTTTGCACCTCTGAATTTTAACATTCGAAGGAACTTCTTATTAATATGTGATTTGAGTTTGTCCGTTAGTATTAATGTGTAAAGTTTATGTACTGAGGGGAAACAAAGAGGGAGTATCATAATCCTCTTAGAAACCTGAATATGTCCCACCAGTAATCTTCGACTGTGAATTCATAAGACTATAGGATTGGAAAAACACCTGGGGGTGAAATATGAGTGGACCAACTAAAAGAAGACGAGTTGTTAAAAGTACTAAGACCATATTAACCCAAGGCAATAGTATGTTTACACTTACAAGATGATTACAACCAGAATTTAGGTCCTTATTTAATTTCTATACAACTGTGTCGGTTTGAAAGGCATTGAGAGACAGATTAGCATAGTCCTTTTTCAAAGAAATGGGACGACTCGTAGAAATAATGCCCTGCGTTAGAGCCAGAGACTTGATCACCAATACTACCACCTCATTTTCACTAAAAACTGGTCTACTCATATGTTAACCATTTAGTGGACTGATTTTCAAATTTCAAGTCAATTAAAAAAAAATATAGGCAGGACAAACTCATGGTTCACAATATGGTATTCTGTAGATGTTAAAAGTACTAAAATCATACTAACCCAAAGCAGATGTTGATGAATCTTTGAGTATCACCCGAGAGAGGAGCACCACCAGAAAGAATAAAACGAAGGCGACCTCCTAGAACTGCACGGACCTTTCTAAACACAAGAAGGTTCCACAGAAACTTTTCCAGGCCCCAAGCCCCGAACCAACTCCCATTCACAGCAGACAACCTACGAGTATATGCCAAGTGAAACAATATCTTGGCTAGTCCACCCTTCGCATTTACCTGAAGCATCATTCATCATGAAGATACAGTGTTGGAAAATTTGGGATAATGCGCACATGTATATGCATCTACACATGTAATTTTGTTATCTCATATGCACAAGAAGTTTCAAAACCTTGTTGAGCACTCCATCTCGAATACGATCAAGAATTGCAGGGACAGCTGTCAATACAGTTGGCGTGAGTGCAGTTGCATCCCCTTTTGTTCCCCTTTTAATTTTACTTGACGTATCAGTAAGGGTCAACGGAGATCCATACCCTATGGCACTTCCAACAGCAACCAAGAAGTTCTTCAAGACAGATAGTAAAACTTGTTAATCAGGTACCAGAAATATAAGGACGTAACAAAGCAGCTAGTCATAATCATTAACAAAAAAATATTATCAATGAATCACTATAGCCATGCAATCTAGCCAGCTTACATATTTTCCATACCTCCGCTGCTAATTCTAGGATATGAGCGAGGGGAAGATATGCCAGATAAACATCCTTGCCTCCAAGGCCGGGAACAATAGTCATGACCGCAGAAGCTACAGCTAGCACATTAGCATGTGTCATCATTACACCCTGTAAAAAGTGCAAGATGAAGGTTAATTAATGGTTATTGTTGATTAGATGAATGCCTATACTTGCATTAGATGCGAACTCAAGATAAGTGCAAAAGGGTGACCCCAAGCCAACAAGTTTTCCTCGCTCCCCCTTTTGCGCCTGAACAACTTTTCCATTGCGGTCAAAATAAGTATACAAAAACGAATGGCATGAAATAGAGTATAAGACAATATTTTCTATATATCTAGGGAAAATAGGTTATGTAGGGAAATGTGATGCAACAAGTGCCTATTCTATTTATACGTATGACATAAATTGATACAATTATCAGTAGTCACAAATCATAATCCCTGCACGGAAAATCTTTAATTGAACCCAACCCATCAAGTGTTCACCATCATGTACCCTAACTCCCTAAGGCAATGCTTAGATAAGCAAATTGCAATGCCTGTACTAAATAATTCCATCCAAATTGATACACGTGATATCTTTGTTCCGAAAATGTGATGGGGAATGGATGCTACAAAGAGCCTTTCATTACTTCTCCTATTATTTAACTCAAGGCTATAGTAATAAGAAGAAATTTATCAAATGAAAAGGAAAGAGTATAGTAGTAGAGTAGTGAAATTAATAATACTGCAGCAGTTTAATGCAGATAGAAACTAGAAAAATGCATTATAAAATTATCACAATCAAGCATCCTTATCTTCTGAAATTTTAACAGTGTAACAAAAGCACTTTTTAAGGGTAATTTCAAAACCAAAACTCACAATAAATCAACTGTCGACAATGTGAAGGTGAAACATAAAGGAATAGCAATATTGACACAAATGTCACACAAAGCTTCAAAATTTTTATAAACTCCCAAGTCAACAATCAGCATGTAAGAAACCAATTAGAAGGAATATCCTGTCTGAAAGTGCAAAGAAAAAAAAAGGCGGAAACCAAAATAACAAGATATAATAGAAGCTTTAAACCTTGGGTAATCCAGTACTTCCACTTGTATACATAATGACTGCAATATCTTCTGGAAGAGGTAAATCGGGATCAACAGGGTTTTCTCGGCCAAGTTTCTCAACATCATCAAATGAAGTGATTCTCCAGCGACTTTGAACAGATGAGGCACTGGATGGGATATTGGCATCCATACATATGATTCGCTTTACTGTATCTAGTTTTCCACTTATGTCTAGAAGTTTCTTCAGTTCTTTTTGCCCACATATCACAGTTGTAACTTCCGTCTGGAGAAAAGTAAAATGAAAATGATATTGGTCATGTAGTAAGAAAAAAATTTGAGGACAAATGACAAACAATAACCCTAATGTGGTACAAACATATCAACACCATCAATGCATTTATTTTCTGCTTTCAAAAACAAAGAAATCTGACACCAAAAATGCATCTCCAGTCAGTGAAAAGCTCCTCCAACTAGGTTGCAACATTTGGATGAGCTATACGAAAGTCACAATGTGAAATTCAAAATATATTGCTTGTGCTTAATACATTGTTTAAAAAATAAAAAATCACTAAATAAGTAAATAAACATACATGACCTCTAATCGACAAAAAAAATTATTCTGCAATAGTAGCATACCTTGCCAAACAACAGGAATGTGGGTGCCAATCCATAAGAGAGAGAAACAGAGATAGATATAAACATATATATAAATATATGTATATATATATCCATGTATACTGAGAGAGAGAGAGAGAGAGAGAGAGAGAGAGAGAGAGAACCTCATTCAGTGAGTGACATAGAGCCTCCTCCCCGAGAGATGCATATATGGTAACAACAGTGACATTGCGCCTAAAACAACCCTGATATAAAAAAAACACAGTCAGGGATAAGAAATTTGTGCACAAACTCATCCGCTTTATCATTGCATACGAACATTGCCGTTTAAAACTCTAATTTAAAGATTTATATAAAAAAAAACGCATCATATGTGCAACAAAATCATGCTCTCAGGAAGTTTAAGGTTCAGCTATAAAGGAATCTTATGAAATTTCAGAAGAATGATTAATTTTATGTCAGGAATAGCACGTACGACATGCACCTGCAATGCAAGAAACCACTCTTTCCTTGTGTCAGCAAAGATTGCCACTTTCTCTTCCCTATTATGTCCAAGTTGAGCTAAACCGGAAGCAAAGTTGCACACTACTTCAAATGCCTTCCCATAGGTCAGCCATTCGTAGTCTCCCAAATGAAGCTTCTCAAAGGATCTTCCATCCTTTGATACCTCAACCTCCCTTGCAATCAATGCCCGGGTTCCAAGAAGGCGTCTCTCTAGGAACCGCTTGGATGACTGCTCGAAAAGCTCTGCAAGAGTAGTAACACCCTTCCATAGTGTTGCAACAGGGGCAGTAAACCGATGGTTTCGGATTGCATACCCGGGTTCCCCACCAACATCAACGGGCACACCCCGTTGCTTCGCTCTCATCGATTTCTGAATCATAATTGTTAGTAACAGAGGAACAAGCACGCCAACCATGTAGGGATCCATTTTTTTCCCAAATTAATATCCAAATTTCAATCCTGAAAATTTAACATCCAGTCAAATTTTATTCAATCAAAATTACAGTAAAAGACTAGAAATTTAAAAAAAATCAGACTTAAACCGTTTTAATTATTTCAAATTTAATAACGTGCTCACATTTATTTTCATTTTTCAATTTTCTAATTTCCATTTTACATTGCAAGCAAGCATGTCATGAACTCAAGCACAAAAGCAGTGAAACGAAAGAATAAAACGACTTCACAAACTGATATAAAACGCACATTGCAACACAAAACGGACAAGCCGAAATCCAAAAGCAATAACATAAAAAGCACTTTTGAGTAAAGCAGATTCATCGTGTAAATTGCGTTTCGGGGTACCTTGTTGTTGAAGCAAAAGCACGGGAAGCCGAAATTCGACTTTCAAGTCATCACCATTGCGAAATGCGAGCGATTGGGAAGTGAAAACCTGAAAAACTGGGACCGAAACGAGGTCGTTTTAATAGCAGGGAGGGCGGGAAGCGTGAGAGAGAGGTAAGGGCTGAGAGGCGGAGGGATCGAGAGGAAGGGGAGTTGGAGACTCAGACTGACAGAACTTAAGAACTCTCAACTCGTTTTTTGTTTTGTTTTTTATTATTTGTAAAAATTATTGGCGCGGAGAGGGTTAATATGGGCCGTACGATCTGGGTACTTGACGACGCTGGATATTGTGCAAGCGGCCCAGATGGGTTTGAATGAAGAAAATGCTCCGCCCCTTTGTCTTCTATTTTCACTTTTTATCACAAGGCAATATTTTTTTCTTTTTCATTTTTATAAATACTAGCAAAGTCCACACATTTTATGCGTGAAGAATATAAATTTTTATTCTTCTCAAAAATTACTTTTTTTTTTTTTTTTAACCGGGTTGACATGCATCTGAAAAAAAAGGAGTTGACAGGAGAAAGAGAGAGCTTAGAGGGTAGCAATAGGGTGAGGTTCAGAAAGAAAAAGCAAAAGTTTGTTTGTGTGAAATTACTTTAATAACCATATTTTTTTCTTTTTTAATATTTTTACCAGTTATGTATTAAAGGTTATAATTGTAATTTCATTGATCTTTAGTTGACAAAGAGAGTTTTAGTATTATGTAGTTTAGATGGAGAGTAATTGTGGTTTGTTACACACCTATCAAAAATGGGTGTATCCTACAAACTTGAAGGCTCGGGGAGTTCTTAATGTGACCTCAATATTGAGATGATAATGAATCTCTCCCCCTCTTGACTTAATTTTTTGTACAACCAATCACTTTAATACCTTACTTAGTTACAAACTCATGCTATATGGCTCAGCACAAGACAATATTTCATACAAGTCTAACTTATGGAAAGGAAAACTCGCATTTGAGAGAGTAATGCAAAGACACGCTTTGACAGACTGAACTAACTCACACTCTATTTTTGCATGATATGTAAGGAGTCTTCCTCTTGATTGTAATTTACTTTTTGGTACAAGTAATGAGTTGACATGTGAAAAGTACACGACTATACATGTTAAATTGTATGTCTTCTATCAAAAAGAAAGTGTCCTCACGATACGTGTAAGGTGTAAGGTGACAAACATTTTCCAAAATTTTGTTGAGAGAAAACAAAAAGGTTTTACCAAAATCTAAAAAAGAATGATTTTGTCGCTTTGTATATTCAAATTTCATGTAGCAAAGGCGTAGTCTTTTTTTATGTTTTTATTTTTTTTTTCTCTCAAATAAAATAAAAAACTCATTGAAGCCAAACGTGAGGGAATGCTAGAAGTTTGGTAATTTCTCCTCCGACAAAAATAAAAACCCCATTGAAAAGTGTGTGTGTACATTGATCTAACCGACCTGGTGCAACATTAAAGACGAGGATAAGAAGCAGGGATGGTGACACTAGGCCGCCCAATTAGTTATGTTTGGAGTTAAAAAAAAAAAAAAACGCACGTGGGAATAACCTCACCAATATATTTGTTTGGAAAAAACTCCCCAACTGTTTAGAGATAAACTTTGCTGTAACCGGTGCATACACCCACCCCTTGTCGTGAAAGAGAGAGAAACAAAGTGCACAGTGCACACAACCGGAATTTGGACGAGCATGCGAGAAGAATCACACGAGAAAAAAAATAAGAACAACCGAATGGGCAACCAACCCGAATACAAATAAGGCATGCAAGAAAATCACGTGAGAAGAGAGGGAGACATGAAAAGTGTGCATGCAACGGGGATATATAAATTTTGTTCCAAACCTCTGTACATTTCTCAACCAACATAGTCATTCTCAAATTACTAAACGATTGAAATGACCAAGGATGTGTTAATACTCCTGTTTCGTCTCGTCATTTCTCAAGGTTTATTTTGGACAGCAATGATACAAAAAGGATTGTGAGAATTTATACAGTTCCAACGCGCTGCAGTTCTTTAGCTCGGTCTTTGTCTGTCACTCGTAGTATCTTGTGAATTTCCTTGGGATGCTGCTGCTCCTGAAAACATTTCCATCACCGATCTCAAAGCTCCGGATAGTTCCTCAGGCATTTGTTCTCCGAAATTCAAGTTGATGTTACCCCCAATCCTTACTCCTGGTTCATCAGATCCGTCGGTGCTGCTATCATTTCCTTGGCTATCTTGAGAATGTTGTCCTTGGTATGCATTTGCAGCCATGTTCATGAACATACTGGCAAATTCAGCGGGAAGGGCACCTGTATTGAAGGGCATAGAACCGAATGGAGGCGGTGCAGCATGGTTTCTTGACCCTTCGGTAGACTGGTTGGTGTGTTCTGAACCATTACTACTACTAAACGAACTTGTGCTCTGTAGTAGATGAGAAAAAAAAAATTACTTAAGTCATAAAGCATGCTTGTTAATTTTTTTTAAGAAGAAGAAAGCATACTTGTTAATGAGAATGCAATACTTTTCTTGGCAGTGAAGGATATGATTTATTAACAAAGCATACTTGTTAATAAATCATATCCTTCACTGCCAAGAAAAGTACTGCATTCTCATTCTTAGAACAGTTGAGAACTTCAGATGAAAGGAAAACCTAAAGAAAGAAAGTAGCTAAAAAGGGGGGATACTGTTGACCTGTCTTTAAGATGAATGTCATACCTGACCAGATTCCGCTCGTCGTTGTTCATCTTTCAGTTTCTGATCAGCCACCTATTGGATTCAAATTAACAAAGTGGTTAAAGCAGTGGTCATAAGAAATAAAGAAAAGAAGAAGGCACACAAGAACCAACCCGAATGTTTTCTTTGACAGCTTCATTGTTCGGATCCAATTGCAACACTGAAAAGATAAAATCCCCACTAAGATGTCAAATACTACCTTATTGTGTAAACATCTGTTTCCAAATTCTTTTGTATACCATAAGCTGGCATTAGCATAGGTTACCCACTTACCTTTCTTAAATCCTTTCTCTATAGCGTCATGGTAGTTCCCCTGTGCATAGTAAGCTAATCCCAGACGACTATATGCCTTGCTGTAATTTGGGTCAATTTCAATTGATTTAAGGCAATCTTCGATTGCTTCAGTATATTTGTGCATCTGAGTGTAAGCAGCCGCCCTGAATATACGCCATATACATTAATACAATGGGCAGTTTCAATAAAACAATAAGGATGAAACCCTAAATAGAAAATGAAAACTTGGGACTTCCCCATTCAAGCTTGGGTAAAAGAGTTACAATATTTTTTTAACTGTTCATTAGGCAAACTAGCATGTTTAAGGCACCATTTTTCGAATATGATCTGAAAATAATGAGAATTTTCTGTTACAACAATTTTTTTTTGTTTTGTCATTAAGATAAATTTGCACTAGATGTCTTTCTTTGTTATTCCTTCTGGGAAAATGAGAAAACGTAGAAGACTGAAACTGTTATGGAACAATTATTAGTACCAATAATTTAAAGACAAGTTGGTAGTGCACCTGTTACAGTAGTAAATGGCATTACTTTCACAAAGGGCAATGGCACAATCATACAACTCAATTGCCTTGGGGTACAGCTTTGATTGCATGGCCCTATTACCTAACAAAATAAAAATCAAATGAAAGAATCAGCCTCTGGATAGAATATTGACTTTCAATATCAGCGTAGAGTGCCGTATTTGAAAAGCATGAGGTAAGATACAGATATTAACGAATGCTTTTGATGCATTGTCATTCCAATGATAGTAGACAATAGAAACTGGTGCGTATGACAAGACAGTGATGTGAGAGAGAAACAGAGAGATAAATGAGTGAAGTCTTTCTCAAATTTACAGAAACTTGACATTGTACAGTTGCTTCAAGAGCAACACGCTAACAATGCAACCAGGCAATATCATTTAATTACCTTGTGATTTCAAGGTCTCTGCCAGGTTTTTAGGACTTAATTCCATGCATCCAGATCTTTCCATCTCCTGAGGCAGCAAATGGTTTTTTTCTTATTAAGAAGGATTGAAAAGTGACAGCAAGAGAATTCCATTTAAGAACCAATAACGGAGTCAAAAACCAAGGGTACAAGAGTTCCAAGATGAAAGTGATAATTCAAATGTTACTAATAAAAGGATTATGAAATATAAGCAGAAAGGAATTGGATATTATCAAGTACAATACTTTATGTCGCTGGAAGTTTGAAACCATAGGGGTTGATGTCAAACTTCATGTAACTCAATTTCCCAATCCCTTCCCATCAGTCCCAATCCTTAAATCTTACCTTTCCCTCGGAGTGGCAAATCCTGGATGCTACTCATCAAGAGTGTGCACCAGACACATTGCCTTGTATATTTTAATGGTGATTACAGTGTCAGTTCTCAAAGCTACAGAATCATTAGGAACTACAACATAATGATGTTGTATGAGGCCAAATCCATACATTTATCTTTACAATGAAGTGCATGATTGGTTTTCCTTATCTAATTTCAATACTTCACGTTCCATATACAGTTTAATTTTCTATTCTTAAGCTTCAATTAAAATTCTCAATTACCAAAGCGAACCTTTACTGCTTACCCAATATGTTAACAATATGTGAATTCAGCAATTTAGCATGTAACAATAGATGCATAGTGGTCTTCTTCAAAGAGTGTAGACATGGCTAAAGAATAATTCATCATAAAACCAAAATTCATATGACATTACTAAATTATGAAGATGAGGACTACAATTTTATCTCAAAATTTTGTAGGAATAAATATGACGGACATCTGATTTGTCCTTGTAGCTTTCTTTTTCTTTTAATAGAAGTTTTCTAAACAAAAATAAATAAAACTCATGCAAAAAAGGAGAGGGGAGAGAGAGAGAGAGAGAGAGAGAGAAAGCATACAGCTAAAGCCTCATGGAATATTTTAGTCGCTTTCTCTAATCTCACTGGGTCATCACTACCATCAGGCAGGGTCTTAAAAAAGAGGCTTCTCTCAAAGAGTGCAGAAAAGAATTGCCCAAACAGTGCGTCTTTAGACTCCCCTGCCAATAACATGATCATCAAATGAAATGTAACATGAACTGTAAACTGTGACAAAAACTTCATTTCATAAAGCCAACACAATTCCATTTAAAGTATGTGATTCATGTGCAGATTCAATGAAAAGATCACATTGAATTAGACAACATTTAACTTTTGTTCTCTTTGAGCAAGATCCTCCTAAAATGATTTAGTACCAATCCTGTATGGCATAACCCCCTAACCTGGACATTATAATTTATTTATTTTTTGGTCAACAACCCAGACATTATAATTTATATAATTTATAAAGTAATGATTCTGATAGCAATTGGAAGTGTAAACCAACGTTTCATAGGTGAGCCCATTAAGGTGAGTCTATTTTGGTCTGGCAAGGCAAGGCATAAGCCTTGAGGCATTGAGAAGTATACCATTAGAAACATGAATTATTTAATACAGAGCAGGTTAAAAAAAGCACCATTGACATGGCTATGAAGTATCTGACATACGAGTATGACTGAAGGTGGGAGAACCATATACACAAAAGAAAAAGCCTAGAGAAGTCTAGGAAAGAGGAAAGAATGAGGAGAGCAAACTACAAGGGCTAGTTCACATCCCTTGGAAGGAACATTAGGGTTTAAAAAACATTAATTTGGGGATGAGTTCTATCGGGTAGGAGGGGGAAGAAGAAGAAGCAGGGTTCATCAAGGGATTAAACAAAAATTTACATTTTGATTCTAAAACCGGCCATTAATGAATTGAATAAAAATGAAATATTTCGGTAAATGGATAAAAACTTCCAAAAAAAGTGTAAGGCTCAGAAAAAATTGTCTTCTTCACCGCTAACAGCTTAGCCTCCATTCGTGTTGCACAGCCTAAAACAAATCTACCCGTAACAGAAATTTTTTAATGCTTTGCATCGAAGCGCACCTTGAGGCACACCTAAAAAAACTTTTTAAGGCAGTAGTTCAATCCCTAGAGATGATTCATTTAATTGCAGATGCAACAGATAATATTCCTCTTAAGGAACGCACCCAATGATGAATTTCATGTACAAAATTGGAAGCAATTTAGCCAAACTTAATAAATCACCCGACAAGGTAAGGACACGCATATAGGAAAAATAAAATAGAATTAGAGAAAAGCAACAAAAGCGTAAATGTAATACCTAGATCATGGTGATTGCTTGTCAAATCCTCACCCTGATCAAATTAAAAACAAGAAATGAAACAAAGTCACACTCAAAACTTTCAAACCTTATAGTAAGTACATATAATACTAAGAAACAACCATATGTATGCAACTATAAAAGCATCATTGTATTTATGATCTTAAAGAAAATGAAAAATAAAGCAAAAGAAAGAAGAAAAACATAAAAGTCGCATGTTCTCAAATTAGGAAAGAAAAGTGCTCCCTTTAACTAATCTGATATCAAATTATTTATTGAGTATACAACTTAATTAAAGCGTACGCAAATTCATTTGTGAATTAACAATAGAACAAACCAACCAAATAGTTAACAAATACTAAAAAAAACAAATTTCATCTTCATTTGTATTTCATCTAGTCACATATTCTGCTTCTATTTCCAGCTGTTATCAAACCACCTCCAACTTAAGTAAAACCAGCATATACACCCAATACCTATCCTTTACCAATTATTGAGGAACTTTGAGATAAAGTTCAGTTTCTATCAGTTTTATGAGCTTCGGTTTCTTGTGAGTTCACTGGAATATCGCTTTCCTTGCTTTGTTTAGATTGGAAGGCAGCTATTTGCTAGCCTGGCTGTGGTTTTTATTTTAGGTTGTTGTTTGTTTTCATTTTCATGGTTCTGTGTTCATTGTTGGGATAGCGGTGTTTGGGCTGATCTGCTAGACCACCTCTCTTTTCCTAATAAAACCATATCTTTATTAAAAAAATACCTATCCTTTACCAATATAGTAAAATATAATCTTAATCACACAATATCAGTTATGTCTCTAAAGTAAACATTCACTTTGTTGAGCTTATATAACCTTCAACGCACATATATCAAAAGAGATAAAAACCCTAACTTGGTCTTTCTTCCTCCCCTTTCCTGTTCATAAACTAACACTATGTATCCTTTTACTTCCGCATTTCCTTCCATTGAAACAAAGGATAAGGCCTACTAGCCCACAGATCTCATTCATCCAATTTTCCCCAAATTTCCAATCTCAGATTGTAAGCAAGTTTGCATTTTCATGGTCCATATTAACTTATAGATGACTAAAAAACAATTATAATGCATTACACCCATGGTGATTTACATAAGAATTTCTAAGGAATGAACAAAATAATGTGAAAGCCCCAGAGAACTTTATACCTTCGAAAGATTGGCATTATCAGCCCCCGGTGCAGCTGATGAACCAGGAGCATCAACTGAGTTTGATCGATGAACATGATCAGGCTTCTTCTCCTGAAGCTTGTTCAACTCCGGTGAACTAAAAAGATCAACCAACGACGCGGGTTTAATCCCATCATCAGCAACAGATGTATTGAGCTTAAAAGCCTCATGCAAGCATTCCCTTGCAACCTCAATGCTTTCATTATCAACACCAGAAGCTGGTTCAACTGCCCCAACCGAAACGAAACAAAACAACCCATGATCAGTGAGGGATTCGAAACCCATAATAGTAATTTGAAAGAATTCATCAACAAGCACATTGATGGTACAGACATAATTCAAAGTCTACAGTTCAAGTGCATAAGTTCATTAATACTTTTAGGCATCCAAAATCAACGTAATAAAAATAATGCAAGGAACGAGCTTGAAACCCTAGAAATAATTTCACTATATCTATATATCACATTGCAATTACAATCATATATATATATAGAGAGAGAGAGAGAGAGAGAGAGACCGGAATTGAGGAAATCCAAGAAGGAGCGGACGATGCGACGAGAGAGAGTAGAATTGGTCTTCAAGGGAGCCATGGACTAACAGAGAGAGGTGACAGCCGCAGTGCGCATGAAAGTGTGGAAGCCACCTGCTTGTCTGAGAGACTCGGAGTTCTCGGCTGACTATATTAGGGCTTTGTTTGGCTGCGGGACCTTTTGCTGTGTCAAAATTAGACCTTTGTGATTTTTTTTATTTATTTTTTGCCAAAAATAAAAAAATAATATTAAAAATAAAAAAAATAAAAAAAACCTTGTCATTTGTTACAATTTTTCAATAAAAAACTGATTTTGTTAGCCAAAATGATTCTGAGATTGGCATAATTCAATTGATTCATGAGATTTAAAATCAATAAAGTGTGTTATGATTATCTATCCAAAATACAGCACGTGGTACGCCTTAGAGCATGTCCATCCCAAGAAAATAGCTTGGGCTATTGGGCAATCTAAAACCCTCTCCCCAAAATCACTCTAGCTGTACCCAATTAACTGGGCTCCAGGGGAGCCCAACAGACCACACAAGATTGAATTGCTTAGCCCACCGACTGGGTGAATTTAACGTCAGCCACGTAAATTTTTTATTTTGGCTAGGCACGTGTGTTACAAGCGCAAGTACCGGCGAGTGAACCAACAGAAATACAGAGCTAGGGCCCGTGCTGCAAGCACACTTAGCTGATCTAGGGTGGGGATGACGTGGCTCTGTCTGGACCGCTGGATTTCCAATGGTTAAAAAAAATTTGAATTTGAAAATAATGGCTAGTGCACATGGAAAATTCTGGTTGATTCTGGTTGTTAGAAATTCCAATCAAAGATCTAGATTTTTCAGGCTTAAAAATTAAAAAAAATCAGAAAAAAAACTTATTATTACCGTTGGGATTATGTGTCAAAATCTAGGCTTTTAGATTAATCATAAAATGTAATCCAATGGTCCATATTAATAACGTTACGTAAAAATTATTAAAAATACATAAAAAATTTATAAATTTTGTTCTATATTCAATTTGGTATTTTTTTATTTTTCTATTTTTGGCAAAATTTGATATGTTATTTAAAATAAGAGAATCCTTATATAAACTAAAAGCATCTTTATTCTAAACAACATAAATAACACACAAATAAAATTACAAAAACATAGCAAATAAAATTTAAAAAAATATATCAAATAAATTAACAAAAACACACCAAATAAACTTTAAAAATTAAAAAATAAAAAAATAAAAAATAAAAAGCAAAACAAACCAAATAAACTTGTGAAAAAAAAATACCTACTAAGGGCATTTTTCTTCCACACAAGTGCTCAATCAAGTCACTTTGACTCCTATTGTAAATGTATGAAGATTGAATAAAGTATAATATGATAGCTCGTCCCGAAATATTTTTTTCGATGGTGTGAAAAGACTAAATTGCTCTTGGACATTAGGTGGTGTTGTGTGACATGCATTTTGGTTGTGGTCCAATTCATGTTTTCCTTAGTTTTTGGAACCAATTAGAACTTAGGTTTATTTTATTTTCTTTTGTTTTGGTTGGTTGCCATCTGGACCACACACACACACCCATACCACACTTCCGTGTACTCTTTCTCCTCTTCCCCTCTCGGATTTTCTTCCATTTCCGTACAACTGCACGGACAACTTTCAAACTAACCATTTCATGCACGGATCGAAGATTTGAAGGTTGGTTTTGGACTCCTAGCAAGCCTAGGAACTTATCCATACCCTTGGTTGGACATGAAGCCTTCAAAAACCCGAGAACCAAGAATCCCAGATTTTGAGCACTGTTCATGTGATCGTGATCATGGAATTTTTAGTGAGTTTTAAGGTTCTAGGAAGTTTTAGGACGTCTTCACAAAACTCGGGGAGTAATTTTGAAGTGTTTTAGACATCGGGAAGCTCGAGTTCATCGAGTTGCAGTAGTGGCCGGATTATCGTGGGTTTTTGCAATGAGATTCAATTGGATTTATGTCCTAAAAGTTGTAAGATTTTTTTCTACTCATTGTAAGCTTCATTTTGGTACAAATTTCATGGTTTTTGGTTAAGAAATGAGAAAGATATGAAGTTTTGAAGCTTTTCTAGAAACCAGCGAAAATTCAAGTTGTAGACGGCAGCGACCGGCGAGGCTCGCCGGAGAAGGAGACGAATATTCTGTCAGAGTTGACGGAATATTCTAACGGCGTCAGGTAACGCGGTTAACTTCTGTAAAGGTTGTAACGGAATATTCCTAACGGCAGTTCACTTTTCCGTTAGGGTTGGCTGTGCCTTGGCCGGCGCGTGGGTGGTTGAAAATTTTTTCTAAAAATATAGGGATGTTTATGGTGTTGAATAGATCACATTGGTATATTCAAACACACCATTTGAGCAATGTATGAGAAGTCATTAGCTAGTTTTGTTTATGTGCTTTAAATTAATGTTTATATAGTTGTTTTGCATATAGGTGAGACCTATCCTCAGAACGAGTGTAGTTAATCGAGGCTTGGGGGCTACGACCCTTCCACATACCAGTGAGTGGGCTTTTGGTTTTCCGTATATACCTATATACTTAAGTTTTTCCCAGAAAATCGATTTAAATTAAATTATGTTTGAAATGCCATGCTTATTGATTTCTGCTTAGACTATGAATTTGTATGATATGTGCATATTGTGATTTGACGTGTTGGACGCTCAAGTAAGTACCAGGTGAGTTATAGACTGTTTATGTGAATTGATGATTATATGAGATGTGTTAAGAGCTTATAAACCCGAACCCCAGTGTTAGTGCTCCCGCCCAGAGTTAGGGCACAATCCTTCACGTGATGTTCACTTCCCGCACCATATGCTCATCTTAGATCCAAGTTAGGTGCACAGTCGTATTGTATAGACCACTATAGGTGGTTTCGACTCGTAGGTGACCGCGATTATTCACACAGTCTTCACGTGATCGTAGCACTTGAGCATATTTATTTACACCCAGTTCTGTCGTATAGACCGCTTTATGTGGTTCCGACTCGTGTGCAGGTATATTTGTTGAGATGTGGATTTGAGCCATATAGGTCACGTTAAGTGACTCTAGCTAGATGGATGAGCTCTAGATTTAGCCGTACAGGTCACGTTTGGTGACTTCGGCTGACATATCATTTGCATTGATTTATATCACCTGGCTTACATATTTTATTGCTGAGATATTCGACATGGCATATTTGTGAATTTTTCTATTCTGAGCATGGTTGTGGTATAGATATGTATTCCATTTTCTAGGAAATAATATAGGTTTTACGGTGAGGGGTTACAATCTTTGATAATTGAAATGATTTTGAAAAGCTTTATTTTTGCCCACGCACACTTTCTGTTTTACACCCCTCCAGGTTCTAGTTAGGAGTGCTTTTGGTGGCTTGCGAGGAATCCACGGCAGCTCTGACAGATAATCACCATTGTAGGATTACCTTTGGTGTTGTATAATTAGTATTTGTCTTGCTGGACTGCACCTAGGTTACTTATGCTCTGGTTGTGAATTCACACTTATTTTCGTCTTGCACCTTATCTTATTTAGTGCTGTAGTTAGTTTGGTTTTTATTTATTCGTATTTCTATTATTATTATTGCTTCCGCACTGTGCATATGGCTACGTCACACTCACGTGATAGCCAGCACGCCTTGATTTCGGTCGAGGTGTGTCAGTCTGGTATCAGAGCCTAGGTTTGGTAGTCCTGCATATTTGGTGAATATTATAATTATTTTGATGTCTTCTGTCAAAACTATGCCGTCTCGTAGAGAGCCACGTCGTTTAGCTGAGCCAGTTTCCCATATATAGCTCAGTTGGGGGAAGCTATAGCTCATGCTATTCAGCTCTCGCTTTGCCCTCCTCAGAGGACTCCCTTTGAGACTATGTATAACTTAAAGTTGGATAAGTTTAAGGGCCATGAAGGACATGAAGGAGTAGAGCGGTGGCTCGAACATCTTGAAAAGGCTTTCCGAGTGACGCAAAGCCAAGGAAATCTTCCATCTGAAAGGTAGGTAGAGACGACTACATGGTTTTGATGTGATAAATAATAGCACTCAAATTAAACCCTCTTTTTGACAATTGTAGTATAGATATAAGTAGGGATTGTTCTAGGCCAGGGATTAGGAAGGATTGCTAATCTAATGAAAACTGACTCAAAGATACAAAAATATGCTTAAAAACACTTAAACAAACTCAAAGACTCTTAACTAAACTTATATGACTCAAAACAAACTTAAAAGACTCCAAACTACACAAAACAATCAAAAAGACTCAATTTAGACTCTAGGACTTAATTTGGACGAAAATAGAATTGGGTTTGACTCAAAAACACTCTTTAGGACAGATTTGAAACAAGTAAGTAAAGGGGATTGGGTTTTTTACGAATTTAAGAGAAAAACAAGTAATTAAAAGACTTGAGTAAACTTTGGACGAATTTGAGAAAAACAATGGATGATTAGATAGCTAGAGGATACTTTTCCACACATGATACATTCAAACACAAATTGATTTTCAATTGCTTTTTCGATAAACCATGAACCCCTACACCCCAGATTAACCGTGACATCACTAATTAACCCTCAGATTTTCCTTAAGTTATTGGATTGGATGACATCATACGACAACCCAAAGCATTATTCAAAAGTTCCCTACATGACATCATAATAGAGATACAATCAAAGATCATTACGTTCAATGAAAATCATAAGTATTGACAAAGCACTTGTAACTATGACATCATGATACTCATGCTAGGAATTTACTTAACATGATTGTGAAAACAACCTTAACTACTTGTGAATATAAGTTTGTGACGATTATGTGAAACTCCCTTATATTCTAGCACCAAATTCAAGTATGCAAATTAAGTAGGCATCCCTAATTAACATACAAGAATAAGTTATCCATCAAACGGTTAAGTAAATTGCATTCACAATTTATGAAATCACAACTGGACTTAATCAATTCATATCATAAATATAATCATGGTTTCAAAGCCTCCCCTAGCTAAAACGAGTTTAGCCTCTCATGTTCACAACAAAACAAAGGAAAATTGAATTAAACATTGAAAGCAAAAGATAGATTACACCTAAGAACGTCCAACACTCCAACTTGAATGCACAAACGTCCAAGGCTTCTTCTTCTCTTCTTCTTCCTTGCAAAGCTACGACACAAGAGTCTAGGGGTGATTTTGGATGGATTTCTGGGTTGTGAATGGATTTAGGTTGGTAGGGTGGTGCGGCAAAGGTTGGGAATGGTATATGAGTGTTTGGGAGAAGGTATGGAAGTAGGAGAATGGTGGAAAGATAGGTTGAAGGCTGCGGCAAAAGGTTGGAGAAAGGATGAAGGATGGCAGATTGTGTGGGTGAATGATTAGGGTAGAATAAGGGTGCGGCTTTGGTATTTATTTGAGAGAAAGAATCCTAAGGTTTATTACATAGTTTAGGAAAGGATTGGACCCCCAAATCCATAAGGAAAAGGAGATATAAAATCAGAAAATCCAAGGGAAAAGGGAAGGAAACTTGCGGCATAAATTGTATGAAAAGGGAATATGGTTTAAGTCTGAAATTAGGCAAGGATATAGGATGGAAAAGGTGTTAGTGCAAAATTGGCAATTCTTGACAAAATGCCTGAGTCTATAATAGCTTAGACTTGTTACATATTTTAAATTGTATTTGTTTAAGTCTAAGGATGTCTCTCACACTTTCGATGCAAAGATGTTACGTAAACAAGATACTTATTCAGGTACGTTTGCACGCATGCATTCAACTACATTCATTTGTTATCTCATGTTATTGTAGTTATAATTGGACCCTTGACCATTGTGTGTTTTATCTCTTTTAAATGACTTATCCGTTCTATATTAATTATTAAAACACACTTTCAAATATCTGATTGCATTGAGACTAATCTGATTGCATTGGGACTTATCGGGTTGCATTGGGACTTATCGGTTTGTATTGGGACTTATCTGTTTGCATGTTGGTAGGAGTCATCTGATTACATGGATTGCATTCTTATCAGTTTGCGTCGAGCAGTGCATTAAGCTTTTATAAGAGTTGTCAAACTCTTGGAAAAAGGTGAAGCCGCATATGCATGTTTTCTTTGATTATAGCATTGGCAGCAACTTTGCGTTTTTAACAAATAAAAAATTAACTTTTCAGTTGCTGCCATCTTGTGGTTTCAATTGCAATTGTGTTTAAAGAGAAAATATTATTTTCATGCTAGTTTCATTTGTTTTATTGAATGTCAATTATGAAAATGTGCCGTGTGATTTTCGTACTTGATTGTTTTCCAAACAAACACTTCATCATATAAACATTCTGCATGATCGAGTTAGTGTCTTGCAAAGTTCGAGGAAAAGGTGATTGACGATCACGTTAGTATTGTGCCACTTCAACTCGAAGACTGATGAAAGATCGAGTAGCAAAGCGTGAAGACAAATATGCCAACTAGTATGGTTGTCTATTTGATGAGTTCTTGTAAGTCTTTATGTATTCTTTCTTTCTTAGTGCTTCCTGGCTTGGTAGCCTGAGGATTTTCCCAGTGGTGGGTTTTGCCTCGTTAAATCCTACATCATGTGCGTACTCTTTATATTTATTTTGACTATTTGTGTAGGGATTAGTTTACATAACTGATTAACTTAAACCTTAAATTGCTTTAGTTTTAAGTTGAAATTTAGTTATATTTCTAGGTTAAATTAGTACCCATCCTAGGACTTTCAATTGGCACCAGAGCAGGTCACTAAAAATACCTAGTGAGATCCGTCGGTAGTCTAGGATGAATCGGGCTATGGGTTCAGTTTCTCATCCACCATATTTTGATGGAGACAACTATGTTGCATGGAAGGCAAAGATGAAATCATTTCTCTGGGCGCTTGACGACATAGTGTGGCTTGTGGTTGAAGAAAGCTGGGAACCTCCAACAGTTAGTGAAACAAAAGGCGAAGGACAATCTTCTGTAACTATTTCTATGCTTAAGCCTAAAAGACAATGGAGTGAAGATGAACGCAACATTAGCACATTCAATCAAAGAGCATTGAATGCGTTATTCACTGCCGTTTCGCCTGAGCAATTTAACTACATTAGTAAATGCACAACGGCGAAAGAAGCTTGGGATATTCTTGAAGTTACTCATGAAGGTAACTCCACTGTCAAAGAATCCAAGCTTCAAAATCTCATCACGCAATTTGAAAATATCAAAATGCAAGATGATGAGAGTTTTTCGGACTTCTATGCTAAGCTTAGTGTAATTGTAAATGGTTGTCACAATCTTGGTGACAGCATTCCTGAACATAGAGTTGTTAAGAAAATTCTAAGATCTCTCGCTTCAAGGTTTCATGCGAAAAGGACAGCTATAGAAGAATCGAAAGATTTAAGTACTTACAAGTTGGGACAATTGATTGGATCATTACAAACATATAAGTCTGACTTTACCGAAGTCAAGAAAAGAAAAAATGTTACCTTCAAAGTCAATAATGAAAAAGTGAATGAGGATTCATTTAAAAACCTGACTCAAGATGAATTTGCTCTTCTCACCAAACAAGCTAGGAAATTTTTGAAACTCAGAAGTTCCAGGGGATGTGAAAATCGAAACAACTTTGATTCAAACTCCAAAGTTCCTCGTTCTCGAGATGTCTCTCATGGAAATTCTTCTAAGTTTGTCAAACTTGGTGAAAAGAAAAGTTCAAATGACAGAGACAAGTGTTTTGAATGTCAAGGGTATGGACATCATGCTCATGAATGTGCCAATACTCTTAAAAAGTTGAAGGATGAAAAGAACAAGGCGTTAACCTCCACTTGGAGTGACAGTGATTCAAAGAAGGACCCGGCATCTGAAGATGATGATGAAGTGGTTGCGTTTATTGGAATCTTGGATGGATATGAGACTGATGACTCGGTAGTTGAAGAACCTGATTCCGTAGAAGTCCTACAAAAGTATACTGCACTTTATGATATCACCATGAAAGTGAAGAAAGAAAATGACGAACTGAAAAATAAACTTGTGCAGCTTGAAAGTGCGAAGAAGGAAGTAGAAATTGAGCATCAATCTCAAATGGAACATGCAGAGAAGCTACGAGAGTTAATGTTGGAAAAACTACATATGCTAGCATCAGACAACGAAATCCTTGAAAATGAATTAAGAGGCATGAAAAAGAAGGTTGAAGAGTTTAGTATTGGATCACGAAAAATTGACAAAATGTTAAGCTATGAAAAAAATTCAGGTGATAGAAGTGGTTTAGGTTTTGATTTTAATGTGACTGGAAGTTCTTCCTCTTCTGTTACTAAATTTGTCAAAGCTTTACAAGAACCAAGCAGGAAAGAAAGTAGTGATGAACCCTTTGGAAATTCGTGTACCACTACAAACAAGCCAAATTCTGTGAGCACTTTTGTTGATCCAAGAAATTTCATTAGGTCAAAAACCTTCATTCCTACTTGCCACTTCTGTGGAAAAATAGGACATATCAGACCTAGATGTAACAAACTTCGAAAGGAAGATCGAACTAAGCACACCACCCATTGGATGTCTAGAAAATCAAATCTCAAAATGAGATTTGTTGCTCATCCGAAGCGAATGAATAGAATTTCAAAAATAATGCTCAATTCCATCACTCCAAACTTAAAACAAGTATGGAGAAGAAAGGAGACTCAAGTTTGCTTATTGGATAAGATGTCACCATCATCTGATCAAGACAATCTTACCTGTTTGGTGGCTTTTACTGCCCTCTCAACTTGTCAGTCTGATACTTGGTATCTCGACAGTGGCTGCTCGAGGCATATGACTGGAGACAAAAGATGGTTCACAACCTTCACCGAGGATTGTAAAAATGGAGCAGTCACTTTCGGAGATGGAAAAAGAGCAAGGATTGTTGGAAAATGAGAAATCAAAACTCTAGGAATTCCATGCTTAAAAGATGTCATGTTAGTTGATGGACTTAAAGCTAACCTAATTAACATCAGTCAAATTTGTGATGATGATGATGCTGAAGTATTGTTCAATAAGTTGAAATGTTGTGTGAAAGTTGCTAGTGGGATAGACATTTTTGAAGGAAAAAGGTCTAAAGACAATTGTTATTGTGTGAATGCAAATGAATCACATGTGCCAAATATATGCAACAAAGCAACTGATGATGTTTTGGATTTATGGCATAAAAGATTAGGCCATATGAATTGTAAGGATATGATCAAGCTTTCCAAGAAGGAATATGTGAGAGGTTTACCAATGTTGGCTGGAGAACTTGGAATTTGTGGAGAATGTCAAGTGGGAAAGCAAACAAAGAGTTCACACAAGTCAACAAACTACATCTCAACCTCACGACCTTTGGAGCTGATGCACATGGACTTGGTTAGACCGGTACAGACCGAAAGTATTGGGGGAAAGAAATATATTCTTGTCTTGGTGGATGATTTCTCACGTTTTACTTGGGTTGCATTCTTGCGTGAGAAATCTGATGCGTTCAAAGCATTTTGTGGCTTGTTGAATAGAATTCAAAATGATAGAGTTGCTTCAAATGATCGTGTGATAAAACTCAAAACCGATCACGGAACTGAATTTGAAAACACATCATTTTCTGAATTTTGTGATGAAAAAGGAATTGCTCATAATTTTTCTGCTCCAATCACTCCTCAACAATACGGAGTTGTTGAACGGAAAAATCATGTGTTGCTTGACATGAGTCATGTCATGCTGACTAGCGCTCGTTTGACAAGTCATTTTTGGGCTGAAGCAGTCAGCACCGTTTGCTATACTGCAAATAGGGTCTATTTTAGACCTGGTACAAAGTGCACACCATATGAGATTTGGAAAGGAAAGAAACCAAACGTGAAGCATTTGAAAGTGTTTGGAAGTATATGCTACATTTATAGAGATAGGGAAATGTTAACAAAATTCGATTCACGAAGTGATATTGGAATTTTTCTAGGATACTCTCTCACTAGTAGAGCATATAGAGTGTTCAACAAGAGAACTAAAAATATCATGGAGTCCATTAATGTTGTTATGAATGACTCTTCCTTAAGTATTGAACAACCTGCTTCAGATGAAGAATTCCTTCAAAGTAAATTAATCGATGAGTCATCCACTACTCAGGTTGAAGTGCACCAAAATGTTGATTCAACAAAAGCTTTGAGAAAAGGACACAAGCAAGTGCAAAAAGATCACTCCAAGTCTGACATTATTGGCAACGTGGAAGATACCATACTAACAAGAAGCAAAACTACTGCTGTGGTAAACTTCACATGCTACATATCAAAGATTGACCCAAAAAATGCCAAGGAAGCTCTTTTAGATGATGATTGGATAATGGCCATGCAGGAGGAACTCAATCAATTTGTTAGAAATGATGTATGGTATCTTGTTTCCAGACCCAAAGAAACAAATGTTATAGGAACAAAATGGGTTTTTCGGAACAAAACCGATGAACATGGTATCATAACGAGAAATAAAGCTCGTTTAGTTGCTCAAGGATACACTCAGGTGGAAGGTTTGGATTTTGACGAGACATTTGCTCCCGTTGTGAGATTGGAGTCCATTAGGTTGTTACTTGCTTTTGCATGTCATCTGCATTTTAAATTACATCAAATGGATGTCAAGAGTGCTTTTTTAAATGGAGTACTTCAAGAAGAAGTATACATGGAGCAACCAAAGGGGTTTGTTGATCCAAAACATCCTGATCATGTGTATCGGTTGAAGAAAACTTTGTACGGTTTGAAACAAGCTCCTAGAGCATGGTATGAAAAACTCTCAACCCATTTGTTAAAGAAAGGATATACTCAAGGAGCTATTGACAAAACCTTGTTCGTTAAAAGAATAAACAATGATGTGATGATAGCTCAAGTGTATGTGGATGACATAATATTTGGCTCAACATCTGACATACTTGTCAAAGAATTCACTGAAGTTATGCAGAGCGAATTCGAAATGAGCATGTGTGGGGAATTAAAATTTTTCTTAGGATTACAGGTTAAACAAGTTGAAAACGGTATTCTTGTCTTTCAGACAAAATATGCAAGTGAGCTGGTTAAGAAGTTTGGTTTGGATTCAACAAAACCAGTCTCCAATCTCATGGCAACAACCACAAAACTTCACAAGGATCCAAATGGAAAAAGTGTTGATCAAACCCTCTGTAGGAGTATGATTGGAAGTTTGTTGTATCTTACTGCTAGTAAGCCTGATATCTCTTATAGTGTTGGTGCATGTGCACGATATCAAGCTGATCCAAAAGAATCGCATTTGGAAGCTGTCAAAAGAATCATCAGGTATGTACGTGGCACGGTTGATTTTGGTTTACATTATTCTTTTGAAACCAATTCTGAAATTGCTGGATTTTCAGATGGCGATTGGGCTGGAAATGCTGATGATCGGAAAAGTACTTCTGGAGGATGTTTCTATGTTGGAAACAATCTTGTCGCTCGGCATAGTAAGAAACAAAATTGCGTTTCCTTATCCACTGCCGAAGCTGAATACATCGCTGCTAGTAGCTGTTGCACCCAATTGCTTTGGATGAAGCAAATGATTCGTGATTATGGCATTAATCAAGGCACATTCTCTATTTTCTGTGACAACACTAGTGCTATAAACATTTCCAAGAATCCAATTCAACATTCTCGTACCAAACATATTGACATTCGTCACCATTTTATTCGTGTTCTGGTTGAAGAGAAGGTTTTAATATTGGAGTTTATTGCCACTGAACATCAACTTGCAGACTTGTTTACTAAGCCTCTCGACACTCATCGTTTCGAAACTCTTCGAAAGGCATTAGGAATATGTCGTGTTCTCTAAACTTCATTTTTTTTCATTTTTTTTTCTTTTTCTTCCTTAGTTATTAATTTTTCTTAAACATTAACGCAAAAGAAGTCCAATTCTTGTTAGTCTACAAAACTTTTGTCCACTGCATTCTCTACTTCGTGCTACACATAATATGTTTTTGCTTTGGTGGTTGATACTATATGTATGTTTTCTGATTAAACTTGGCTTCTTACCTGCACCTCTGCACCCTGTGAGCTTTTGAGCCTCTAGTTAGTGTATGCATTTTTCATACACTTTTAATCATTTCTGTGTGCTCTATCTTATGTGATTTTTAACTCTCTAGAACTTGCTTTGCGATCTCTCGAGGCTTTGTATCGCTTTTTACTCTTCTTTTGAGATGAAAATAAGAATTACGATTTTTTTTCTTATACCCCAGTGCTTTATTATTTTTCCGCATTATTGAACCTCTCCTTCAGTTTATATTCCCTGCTTCACTTCTTATACCCTGGTTCTCCCCACAATCCGAGCCAATTGAATAAATTTTTTAGGCGAGAGTCCAAGACTGTTTCCCATTGCAGAGCAAAACTTGTGCTGACAGAATCTTTCCAAGTCAAGAAAAGCTATCTCAAATAAAAAAAATAAAAAATAAAAAACAAAAAAAAATAAAAAAAAAGAAAAATCAAGATTCGTGTGTATAACACACATGGCAATTGTTTATCTCTGAAGCCACTCAATGGTATACTTGTACTTGAAGACCACAAATATATTAAATGTGCAAAGCACTCTCTATTGCTCTAGTGGTTCCCTCTGTCTCCACCTCTCTTCCGTTTTATTTCGACAGGATTCTATAGCTTCTTGGACTTATCTCCTCCCTATTTTTTTTTTCTTAATCCCGTACCTATACCCTACTATCACCCTTCGTAAGAACCTATTTCATCTCTTGAGGGTAATTTGTTGATGTGTGGAGATGAGATTGCTCTGCAAGCCTATGGTAGGGTATTCACATAATGATCTTTTTTAGTGTAAACACTTCACCCCAAACACCTTGAGTGAAATTTGAGAATATTCCTTGTGAGTTTAGGGGTTGCTCTTGAGTTGGCTTGTTTAATCATATTGCATCTCTATAGTCCTGACTATTTTGGCTTTCTTTCGGTTGTATTATGTTTCTGTGGACATTAAAAAAAAAAAAAAAATCGTTATTATCCTTATCTTTGCTCTATCCTTTCCCATTATGTGTTTTTTTTTATTTTTTTTTCATTGATTATCTTTTTAGTTTTTTTATTGCTTTGAAATTGGACTCAATACTTGTTTTTCCCCTATTTATTGACGTGTTTTCAATTGCTCATTGCACGTTGTCTCCAACATCTGTTCATCATGGTTTCCTCACGCAAGTCTACCCGTTCTCATACTCTGAAAGGCAAACCTCCCATTATTACTCCTTCCGACTCTTCTCCCCGTACACGCTCTATGACTCGTAAATTATTTCCTCCTCCACCTGCTTCCTCCACTGTTTCTGCTGTTGATGTTCCCCACGAGGTCGTCCAACATATTCTTGATCTGCGCAAGCAATTCTCTCTGTTGGAACATTTCATTAAGAATTCTACCAATGATAGCAGCCATCGAATTTCTAAATTGGAGCAATGTTTCCACCGCATCCCCGAACACATGCTTATTCCTCTTATCCCTCTTTCATCCTCTGATGATGAATCTGGATTCAGTCCCGATTATGTTACGCCGCCTACCTGTATTCCCTGTTCCCCTATTCTAGAACACACACCGCTGCCATCGTCTACACCAGAGGATGATCCTGAGGCGGATCCCAAAGGTACGTTTGCACGCATGCATTCAACTACATTCATTTGTTATCTCATGTTATTGTAGTTATAATAGGACTCTTGACCATTGTGTGTTTTATCTCTTTTAAATGACTTATCCTTTCTATATTAATTATTAAAACACACTTTCAAATAAACAATCTGATTGCATTGAGACTAATCTGATTGCATTGGGACTTATTGAGTTGCATTGGGATTTATCGGTTTGCATTGGGACTTATCTGTTTGCATGTTGGTAGGAGTCATCTGATTACATGGATTGCATTCTTATCGGTTTGCGTCGAGCAGTGCATT